GTTACTTTAGAACACAATTGTTTTTTTTTCGCCTCTTTTATCACAATAATGATAAACGCACTTTCGTTACCCCGTGGGTTACCACAGTGGTATCCAGAGATTTGAATAATTGACTCCCTTTGGTCAAAGTACACACAGGCGCGTTCAACTACTATAAAACACTCTTTGACAAAAAAAAATTATATATTCTCCTCAGTCAATGGCCCGGTATAGCCAGGTGGTCGCAATCTGAGGGTCATAGGTTTGAATCCCATTTCCACCAAACATACTCGCCCTTTCAGTCATGGGGCGTTATAATGTAATGGTCAATCCCACTATTCGTTGGTAAAAGAGTAGCCCAAGAGTTGGCGGTGGGTGGTGATGACTAGCTGCCTAACCTCTAGACTTTCACTGCTAACTTAGGAACGACTGGCGCAGATAGCCCTCGTGTAGCTTTGCGCGAAATTCTAATTCATCTATCTCTGATTACAATGCAAACTGTTATTCACTTACTTTAGAAATAGCCCATTACCCCTAAAGTGATAATCACGCAGTCTACATTTCTATTTACTTTAACTTCTCCCTTGCACTCTGTACCTGCACGTATTTATAACACGTAAGAGAAAAATCTAGAAATATATATAGCCCTCTAAACAACAATATTCACATAACGAGAAAAACTTAGAAGTTTCGAGTAAGATGACGTCAACAGTATTACAAAAAACCTAGTACAATTAAACTTTAGACACAACGCACGGCTCGTACAGAGTTACGTAACGAAAGTTGTAATAACTATCGGTTTTAAAATAATTAACTTTTAACATTTTTGTTATGAAAACTAAATAATCATTAAATATTAAATCACTAAATAATAACTCTTAAACTAAACAGGTACCTCTTCTTTGATTATTCAAATTAAATTGCCCAGAAATATAAAAAAATGCAGAACTCGGTATAAGCTTCCAAATAAAAGTGGTACTTTATTTGGAATTCCAAAAAGAACCAGTATTGAGTTCCAGAGGAATTACATCCATGTTATAGGTCAAGTTAATCCATATTATATGCAAAGATTCCTCTGTATCTACTGTTATACTATACTACATAGTAGCATAGCCTAGCTATTGTAACACAATGTTTCCTCGAAAAAACACACAAGTTTCAGTAATACTAGATTAGCTGGTGAAATAGCACAAATTGACTACAATGATACTGTTGCCTGGGAACATGATTCACACACAGGCTAAAATGACCAGGTTGTCCTAAATTACTTAACTGTTTTAAAATAAACTGATGATGGAGGAGAATACACAGTCCAATGAGGAAGAGCAAACCCTGGATAAAAAAAAAAGCATAACAAATTAATATGTAATAATGCTTGGAGACGGCTTGAATGGGTAGTAAAGAAAAACTTTAATACAAGTTTAACATAACAGCAAATGTACAACGTTATAGTTCCAAAAGGAAATTTAAAAAATGCAAATTATTCAAGATTAGTGTTCACAATTGTTCGTAAGTCCCCTTAGTTTTTTTTCCATACAATATTAGTTGAATTACTTAAGTGAAATACTATAATATGTCATATTAGAGGTCACAATTGATCATATTCTGGTTTTACGTTTGGACAACATTCCAATTACAGTATACAGTCCCACAAATTTGTTTGAAATTAAGCACAAAGCTACACAATGGACTATCTGTGCTCTGCCCACCATGGGTATCTAAACCGGTTTATAGCATTGTAAGTAAGGGTTTATAGCAGTCTCACAAGTCTCATAAATAAATATTTTTGATTAGAATTCTTTTATAAATCATAGTAAATACATTTGGTTTAAAAATATTAGCGCTTACTTATATATATACTAAACATGTTGCTAGTCTTTGAAGATTTATTACAATTGATTCTCATCAAGACTAGGATTTTCATTTTTGAAGCATTAGAAACTAATAAGACACAACTATGTAAAAATTAACCCATAAAATCTGATTTTCTGCTGAGTTGAGAATAATATAAACTTCATTTTACAAAGAAGTTTTACAAGTTAATAGTAACACAACAAATTCATATCTTCTATTTATAGACAAAATATGGCATAACATCACAATGGTAAGAAATTTGTTAGTTTAAAATCAGGCCCCCCAGCTTAAAATCTCATATTTCTTTACAACTGACAATGCATTATATTTCCAAAGGAAGATAATACATGTTAATTCATGGGTGTATTAAGATAAAATAAAACTAAGGATCACACAACAGAAGATAACATATCAAATCAATTATCACCATTTTTAAACAAGAAACATGTATAAAACTCTACACCACACTCACAACAAATTTAAAAATGACACCATTTCTCCAACTTGTATTTACTTACAACATAACCACAATCACTACAGAAAACTGTTAAATTACTGACATTTTATTATAATTTTAGTACAATAGTTGAGTCACATTATTACAACTAATGTGTACATATACATATTTAATAACAAAAAATCTTGCAACAGCATCTTGCTTGTTCTTCATATAAAACAGAAAATATGAGAGGTACAAGAGATGTTAAAATGTAAACTTGACTTGAGAAACAACAATTTCTGAAACAAAAAATTTAACTTTAAACAACAGGGACTTTTGTATGCGTTAGAATAACTCATTCTATTTGTTGTTAAATTAAAAATAATAAATAATTTTTTATATCTAATTTCAAAAATAAAAACTATAAACTAAGAAATTTTTAAAAAGAATTTCATTGATTTCTCTTCAGATCGAAACTCATTAAACAAGGTAGGGTAGAAACGTGTCATTTAAATAGCAGTAATAAGGGTTTAATGCACTTGTTTCTATAATAGTTAAAATTTCATGACTGCAGAAAAATCAACAAATGAGTTATTTCTGTTGACTGGCAACTTCATCATTCACACCATCATATTTCTGTACTGAAAAACTTGATAAAAACCTTACTTCTTGGAGTGTACTGTTGTTATTCCTTACTTTGAATTTTATTAGAATGTTGTAATAGAAAAAAAAAACATTATACTGCTGAAAGAGCTGATACAAATAATTTTAGAATGGTTATAAACTCACCTTTTCCTAAAAGTAAAATGTAATTAAACTAAATGTTTAAAAAAACTGTGAAAATAACATATACAGTACTAAACCACTGGTACAATGTTCAAGAAATTTATGAAACAAAACCTTAGAATAAGTTGTACACTGATCAAAATATTTAACAATATAATTTTTGTTTGTTATTAAGCTCAGAGCTATACAATGGGCTATCTGTGATCTGTCACTTCAGGTATTGAAACCCTATGTTTAGTGATATAAGCCTACAGACTTACCACCGAGGCACTAGGGTGCTTTAACTGTAAATAATTTTTTTAACCTGGCTGTATTCTTCAACAGTGGTAATCTAAAGTGAATGCAATTAGTTTAGACTGCTTTCATTCTTCAACATAGTTACTAATAAAACATGGTGAACATAATCAATTTTCCTAAGAAAACAGTTTCTTTAAACTGGTTTTAAGCCAGTGAACACTTTGACCTTCCAACACAGAATTATTAAAACGTGTGAAAAACCAAACTGTTTTCTAATCCATATGTATTGAATGTGGTACTGTACAAGCTTTCAGTGTTCCAAAAAATACTTTTCTATCAGAAGCAATAAAAAGATGTATACAACCATAACTTGTAGGCTTAAGTAAGGAAAAGAAAAATTCCTTAAAATAACCCCTTTTAGTGCCCATGGTCATGTATACAGGACTCTAAAATTTCTGTACAAGTTTTTGTCGTATATAAAAGGAACAAGCTAAAACTTGCCTGAGGTTAAGTTTACACTTGTTCACACATAAACAAACTTTCAGTTGAAGTTTCAACTTGGAAGCATGAAGACATGCTTGCTCAAAATAGGATCTCAACAGCAGTAAGTAAATAGTTAGTTTGAATTTTGTTTTGATTTGGCTGTAACTCATATTAACTATTATTTCATTGTAAAAAAATTGTTTAATACTTAATACTTTTGATATATTTTAATTTGCTTTGATCTTTCAAGAATTTAAATCCCTTGTTCTGTCTACAGGACACTGGGCTGTGAAAACACAAGTTCTGTAAACTGTTTCTCTCTTACTTCAAGTCTTAGATTGAATAACATTCTTGATATTATTGAAATATAAGAAAATAAAGCTGTTGACATTTCCTTCATAGGGATCAGCATTAACTGAAGAAACAGAAAGAGACTTAAGTGAGGAACAATAAACTGTTGAAGGCTAATGTGCACCCAAATAACTTCTAGTGGAAAGACAATTGGAGATGACTGTAGTGCTCCAGATGTGTCAGACTGCACATTCACAAGTTATATGCTGTCTCACAGATTCCACACGGGATTCTAAGGTCTCAGGAAATAGACCATTGGAAAAAAGGGGCATATGTAAGCCCCTAATTATTAGCAGGTTGTAAACAAACTTGGGACAATACAGCGTCTCTCCCCAGATGATCCCAACAACAGAGAAACCACGTAAGGAAATGGTAGAAGACAAAATTGCTAACAGGGAGAAGATATCCCTCAAAAAAACCTCAGGATTTCAATGGAGCACCTCAGGAAAGGAGGTGGATGGTGGGCAAGTGCCGTATGAGAGTCAATAGAGTAAAACAAAAGCAAGAAAACTGGGCATGGGATAAAGGAACAGGATGGTCAGGGTCTATCCCTCACACAGGCAAAAGTAATTCCAACTGTTGAGAATCAAGAATTGGAAATTCAGCCTGATGGTAGGCTAAAGCAAACTGATCCGAAGCCTGTGGAGGGTGAGACAGGCTAGCACCCTCATGCATGCGAGATACAAAATAGTCATATTAGGCCTAGCTTATTCAGCATTAGGGGCATAGGAAGTAACAGCAAAATCAGGTGGAGGAAAAAGGCTTTCAAATTTCTCTTTGTCCTGAATAGGTTTAGCATGTTCAGGAGGAAAATGGGCAAAATAAGGATGATTCATATAACAATCAATCTCTCATCAAATGAGAGCCAATATTTCATATCGATTCCTACCACCTACAGCCCGTGTAAGTATGTGGTAAATGCTATTACCTCCTAAGTGGTATCTTGGACTTAGGAATTAATCATTAATGATGAATACCAAACACAAAAGTGTTATAATAAATAAATGAAAAACTAGAAAAAACCAAGTTAGCATTATGTTCCTTGATAGATCAAGGAATCAGTATGCACAGAACATGGATTCAGATATAAAAATGGTGGTGAACCTTTTTTTTTCCTGAATGATTGATGCTGTAGATTTTTATTCTTGGTTAATTCATTGCAAAAAATGCACAATATGTTGATCTACTTTCCTTTCAAAGGTACATTGCATAATGCTTACTTCAACAAGTGGATGAGCATCTTAGAATTGAAAGACCAAAATATTCCAAACCTCTTGCATAAAGATGCCTCCATTAGGTATGAACCACTATATTATCTAAATTACCAACTAGAAAAGATGTGCTAAGAGCAAATGTAGCAGAAAACTAATGTTGGTGTGTGAAAAATGTAACATCAGACTGTGTTTCAAGGAATATTATATACAAAAAGAATAAGTAATGAAAATGAAACTTATGTTTAAAAAAATGACATTTTATTCATTCTAATAATTTTTAAAAGCAAATATTTTATTTGGATTGTTACTTTTTTATTGCCAATAAAGTTTTGGTTATACAGAAAAAGTTTTCTTATTTTCACAATTTAGTTCTTCATCTGCCCAATACCTTGTGTAAAAGAACATGGCCTACAACGTCAATACAAAACTTTAGAATAAATTTACGTTTTAGGCAGTATTAAGGCCTAAAAAGAGTCAAAATATAAAATTTCAGCATTATAACTAAAAAATGAATAAATTGGGCACAAATGGTTAATATATTCTCTTCTCCTAAAAAAACTCCTATACTATTATATAAAGTAATGACCAGGTAGAGCTTGTAATTTATCATTCAAGCAAGACATTATTATGCTAATCTAAACATAAAGAATTTTAAATCTGATTTGGCACACTTAGCTAAAAGAATGTGAATATTTCAAATCAATGTGACAAGCAAAGAAACCATTCTGATTACAGAAAACATGTACAATTATAAATTCCTTTCCACAACCAACCAAAAACTGCAGGTCTGATCAACATCAGCTGTCATCAGTCCAGTTAGAAGGATGGTAGAGGTTTCTATTCAACAGAATTGTACATGGTGTAATTGTAAAAATGGGCTTTTCGATGTACTTTTTACATTCACAAACATATACAGGCTATTCAAATTTTTAGTTAAACTTAACTCTTAGGTTTTCTTCACTCTTCAGTGTTATAAGTTGTTATATGAAAAGAAGGCAAGGATATGGCTTGTACCTTTTCACATTACAACTTATAACACTGAGTAGAGAAGAAAACCTGAGTGCTAAATAAGAGAGTACAAATGTTTATGTATCAAAACATTACATCAATTCTGATTATTTTTTAAACAGTACATTAACTTGGTCATTGAATGATCCACATAAAACAAACACAGGAAGAATCTAAAATGCTTAAAAATATTCACAGACAAATAATCTGGTAAACTATTTCTATTCTTTTTTACTTTCAGTCAACAGCTGTTGAATGCAATAATCAAATGAAACAATCATTATTGAATAATGTTTGAATTAATTATTGCAAATTATTGTGTACCAAGTTAAGAAAACAATTTATTTTTTATCAATTAAACACAATATGGAAACAGTTTTTAAGACTGTATTTTACATGTATGGTTTACATTTAATGTTGTACTTTGATAGGTTAACATTAAACAAAAAACCTGCCACTGAAGAGTTATTACATTATCTGTATCCTTTGTGAAATTTTATCTTAGGTCAAGAATCAAAAGAAAGTTACTCCAAATATTAAATATTGACCATCAGACTTGAGATACATATTTTGAGTTATGATAATTATACATTTCAAACAGGTTTCACCTTGCAAAAATAGTTGACTTAACAACTACTAAACAGCCTTTACATCTTACTTTACTTCAAAATTAAAACAAGTGTAGTAAACTTACTGAATATATCTAGTATTTGTCTATATATATTTCCCAATTTAAAACATTAATGCTAATGGTAAATCACACACTTTACACACAGATGTTATGGGTACACTAACTGAATATCTTAATTTGCTCAGCCTAATGTACTGGAAATCAGCATTTTAATGCATTTTTTAAGAAGAAATACATAGTATACATTCAGTGAACAGCCAAAATATTTTAATGCTAACCCATCAAGTTTTTCACCGAGAAAATAAATATGAAATATGTACACTAACGTAATGAAAAATTGAAGGAATTCTAGTACTTATTACCTGGTTGCCACCAGAAAAAATTCCAAATTAAAATTAATTAGTGATCTAATACTGCTACATATTTAAAATTTCTGGTTTTAATTTACATACATGGCTTTACCTGGCACACTTACAAAAAATCACATATTTTGATAATGCTGCAAAATTTACAGATTTTAATATTTAGCTGGTTCTAACCAGCACACAAAAAATTAATCTAATATTTTGATTCTACTAGAAAGTGTACCAATACTATCACTTACCTTGTTCTAACAAACACATGAAGAATGAATTTTATATTTTGATATTACTAGAAAATTTGTTTCCAGCACTTTCCTGGTTCTAACCAGTTTACGAAGAATGAATCACATATTTTGCTTCTACTGGAAAGTGTATTGATTATAGCACTTACCTAGTTCTAACCAGCACATGAACAACGAATTACATATTTTGCTTCTACTAGAAAATGTATTGATTCTAGCACTTACCTGATTTTAATCAGCACATGAACAATGAATCTCATATTTTGATTCTACTTTTACTTATTCTAGCATTTACCTTCTTCTAACCCCAATTAATCTTATATTTTGATTCTACTAAACATGTCTTTGGATTCTACTAGAACGTTTACTAATTCCAACCAGCATACAAAGAATGAATAATGTGTTTTATTTTATTGAAAAGTTTACTGGTTCTAGCAGTTGCATGGCTCTACCCAGTACCTGTAGAATGCATTACATATTTTGATGGTACTAGAAAGTTTATGGATTCTAGTACTTACTTCGTTTGTTCTAACTGGTAAACTTAAAATTGAAGGAGTTTCTCTTTCACCAAAAGATAATTGAAGATATAAATATATACATATTATACAAAACTTTTGAAGTTTCAATGATTATAGATATTATCCTGAAATACAAGTTCTGTAAACTCTAGCTAATAGTGATGGTAAATACAAACAGAGAATATCTTTAATCATGTAACAAAATCTTAAACTCATTATTACACTAACTAACAGACACAGAATTACTTGTCTTTTAAACATGGCTTTAGTAATTTTTTATGATGTTTTCGTCACTTTCTTAATTCCAACAATCAAATATTTCCTGGTTAAAAAAATAATTTATCTGTATAAGTGTATCTTAACCTGTAACTTGCTTAATTAGTGATATCAAAAACAAAAAATCTATCAAACTGCAGTGCTACAGCCATTCCATAGTTTCACTAAACATAGCTACATAGCAGGTTTTTTGCACCTTTTAAAATGACAACCACAAAAATGTAATCTATCTCACTCATAAATTAAAACCATTACATCTTCCTATACAAGGTGCATATGATCAAGGTTTTAACTGATTAGCAAAAAATCAATAATACCAGGCAAAATATGTTTATATGCTAATACAAAACACATCACATTTCTTACTGTAATAATACAACTTAATATAAAGAAATACAAATATGATGCATTTCTTTGAAATATTTTTTCCATATTCAACAGTTTATTTTCTTTAGAGACTTTCTGACTATTTGGTGTTTATTTATTTTAACTACATATATTTATATCTAATGTTGTATATATTTAAAAACTGCACTTTTACTTGTACAAAATCAGCCAACTGAACTGCAGCATGAAAGTTAAAAACTCATTAGAAAATATATCACTAACATGGAGAAATTCTGTGTATACTATTTTGGTCATCTGCTAACCCATGTCAATATGCGTTTCCAAAAGATTGAGCCACATATTAACCAGGAGGAACATAAATAATGCTTAGCTCTCCAAAAACACATATATATAATAAACATGTAAAAATTTTGTATTACTTCTTAATGGTAATAATTTATAATCTTTATTTTGTACTTGATATTTTAAAAAGTTTGGAAAACTAATTATTTGATTTTACGCTAACACCTCAACATTGTGTTGAAACAGACGTTACCTTCACTATATTGTTCATTTACTACGTAGTGAGACACTTAGCAACATTTGAAAATTTGAATAGGTGGTTCACAAAAGAGAGCATCTTAAAGAAACACAAATAAATGTTTTTATGAAAGCCAGTTTCACAGGAAGAGCCTAGTAAAAATATTTAAAAAATGAAAGTCTAGATTATTATTTTGTTTGTAACACAAATAAATGTTTTTTTATGAATACCAGTTTCACAGGAAGAGCCTATTAAAAACATTTAAAAAATGAAAATCTAGATTATTGTTTTGTTTGTAACACAAATAAATGTTTTTTTATGAATGCCAGTTTCACAGGAAGAGCGTAGTAAAAACATTTAAAAATGAAAGTCTAGATTATTAATTTGTTTGTAACACAAATAAAGGTTTTTATGAATACCAGTTTCACAGGAAGAGCCTAGTAAAAACATTTAAAAAATGAAAATCTAGATTATTGTTTTGTTTGTAACACAAATAAATGTTTTTTTATGAATGCCAGTTTCACAGGAAGAGCGTAGTAAAAACATTTAAAAATGAAAGTCTAGATTATTAATTTGTTTGTAACACAAATAAATGTTTTTTTATGAATGCCAGTTTCACAGGAAAAGCCCAGTAAAAACATTTAAAAACATTTAAAAATTATTATTGGAAAAAAGAAAGAAATGACAATGTTGTCCAAGCTGTTAGAGAAGCCTACTTTCTAATCTTTCTGTGAATAAAGTGCACAAGATGAAAAAACAAAGGTACAGATGATTATGTAATCTTGAGATCTAGAAGTAGCCTAAAGAAACAAAAAAAAACACCTGTCACTGTGAAATAAGTCTCTGTTACTTAAAAATAACTCATTGTTATATATATATATATAATAAAGGAATACTTGCACTAATAAATTTTATTACAACCAAACACAATATTTTAAAATCTTTGTAGTTATAAAGCTAAAAGTTATGAAATAATAAAGAAAACTTTTACTTTGAAATGTTTCCACTCTTGCTCTAAAATTTTATAAAATAAAAACAATGTAAGCTTAAGTTACTTTGAAGTAATGCAGAATTCAATACAGGCTAAACCAGTTTTGAAAAGCAAAAATGAATTAATATATTCTAATTAATTAATACATGAAAATATATAAACACTAAAAGGACAAAAACAAATCATTTTCACAGGAGTAAGAAAACATGAACTACTTTCAAAATAATTTCTATCCACTTCTACAATTTGTCACAAGACATGTATTTTTTCTTTATAATAACAAACTCACACTCTTAATTGATGTTCATTTGTTTAACAATTTTCTGTGATTATAATTTGCTAATCATTATATTTTTAAATTTTTCTATACAATTGGTTGCTAGTTACTAGGATATAAAATATAAATATATCTATACACTCAAAGGAGAACTTCACAGGGAAGTATACAGACTTGAAATAACCATTAAGTTTTTGTACTAATGGATCTATCAATAAAAAATAAATAAAAAAACATTATTCTTTTCTTCTTTGATGTATCTTGGCAAAACCTTTACCCATACAACCCAAACCCATTGTCTGTTAAAAACTTGTTACTTATGTTAATGGGAGCAAATTCGCACAAGCTTTTATATTTTCAGCAGTTGCATAATAATTTCTTTCTAACAATGAAGCCCAGAATTATGTATATATATATATTGTTATTGTACAACAAATATACAAGTAGAACTAGCTACATTCTCATTGTGTGGGTTGATTCACACTGCACTCTCATCCATCCCACATCCTGTTGAAACACCATCCTCAACAGATTTAAATCCACTACAGGGGGAGCCACTACTGCCAGACATAGAGTCTGCAATGTCTTGTGGAACTGTCTGATCAGGACTATTCACAGGATCCATGCTGCTAGAGGACAAGCTGTGAGAAATCACCTAAGTAATTCACTTAATATGTAAATGTACAACTGTGTCACAAATAATGTTTTCATTAACTTTACCTTTTTGTCTCTTAACCTACAACTGTAACTATTCATGTTAAAATTTAATTGCAGAGTCAACTACTGTTTTTAAATCAAATGTTGATAAACATATCTAACCTTTAGTGAGTAAAAGGTATTTTAAAAATTCTAAACCCTAGTATATTAATATAAAACATTTACCTAGCTATTTCAACTTAATAACGTTCACTATATTTTCTTTCTTGATATAAAGATAATCAAGATAAGATTCTTTTCTTCTTTTGACAGTAGAAAGTTTAGGGATGGCACACTGTTCTGTGGAGTTTTAAATTCTATAAAGAAATAAACACTCAGACTGAATATGTTTAAATGTGTAACTTATTAGTTCTACTTTAAAAAAAAAACTACCACATCTAATGAATATTGCAAGTTTTAGCTTGGTTGGCTAAAGCACCTGTCACATAAGTTGCAGATTCAATACAGCTTGGTTTGAGCTTCCCTTCCTCAGAAAATTTATAATCTCAGAGAAAATGTGCAAAAACACTAAAAGTTTTACAGTTGAAAAATTATTTAACATATTCTTTAGATCATGAATTAAATTACACCATTATGATGGCAGCCAAGCAAGTAGTGATGAGGAGAAAGGACGAGTAAATTTATCTGTGATAGAATTTTCCATCGTCACTGTCAAAGATTTAATTAAAAAATAAACAATCACTGTAATGGATATTACTATTTGAAAGTTATTTTAACATAGTATTATAAGATCAGCAACTCCTAAACAGTGGTCCTTTAGGGTTGGTTATGGAAGTGGCAGCATCCTAGTAATAAATTATAACAATGAAATGCAGTTAATAATTACCATTTTTAATTAGTCATATTGTGGAGTACTGATTTTGTTGGCAATTATGTCTCCAATTAAACCAAAACTATTGCTTTGGGGAGTCATAGCATTGTACAGTAGCAGCATTGAATCTATATTTCACACATACATCACATCTCATGCACAAGAATTTGAAGGTGTAAGAGGGAACTGAATTATATCTGTATGGATCCTGTTTAAAGGAAGAGACACAATACAAACACAAAAATACTTAAAAAGCATTTTACTTAGTTGCAATGAAAACTGGAAAGTAAAAATACTGCACACTATTGGGATAGGAGCTCCTTGGTGAAGAAACTACTACAAAATAACAAATCTACTTCTGTCAAACACCATTATTAGCTGACAAATCAGTGAAACCTTTAGTGTATTTCCCACACCATAAAAAAGTATTTTTTTTGTGGAAAAAACGTTGCCTAAAGTCTTCCTGAGTCTTATGGTCTGAAGGTTATGCCAATCATAAAGTCTGCAAGTAATGTCACCAGTAGGATGAGAATTAGCAACCTTAAGCCCTTGTTTTAAATCACTGTTGTGCTACCTCACAGTTCAGTATACTGCACAGATCATGTAGCATGTTTCTGAGTTGTGAACAATAATCAGTTTGTTTTTATTTTGTAAAATCTGATGTGACCCAAATGGTAATAAAACAAAAAAGTTTTATTTTACTGTAGGATTCAAACTGGAAATAGAGCAACTGAAAGAGATTTTGGTTCTCCTCCAACTGAGAAAGTGATACAGGAATGAAAGTAACAATAGGAAAAACTTATGAAAAATGAAAACAGCTAGCACTCTTTTCATGGGCATGCTGCTAAATGGCCATAGCTAGAAGAAGAGGTAAAAAACTGGGTAACTGATCACAAGAAAAATAGAATTTCTGTATCTACCAAAATGACTGTATGTGAAGAGAGTAGCAGTAGCCAGCAGCATTACTAATTTTGCTGGGTCAACATCTTGGTGCTACAGATTTATGAAAAGGTATGGTTTAAGCATGGGTACTAGAACCAGTTGTGATTCCAGCTGGGTTCCACTGCTGGACATTTCAATAAACAAGCTATTTCAAGCATTCATGTGAGAGAAGTGGACCAAATGGATGGAGGTTCCAAAATCATGAGTTCACACCAACAGGGCAAATGAAGCAGCCCACCATTTCACAGGTGTGCAAGTGGGTGAGGAATTTCTGACAATTAGTGAAACACAAGACAACTGTGAAGTCATACAAAGAATGTGGTATCAGCAATGCCCTAGATGGAAGTGAAGATGACGTACCATTTGAAGAAAATGACAGTTTGCATAACACCAAGGATGATGATGATCATGACAGTAGTGATGAGGACTTTTTGGCATATACAAATAATAAATGTAAGTATTAAATATATGCACTAAAATATTTTTTCCCACTTATTTCCTTTTGAAATCTTGGTGCATCTTATGGTCCAGGAAATATAGTAATAATGTGAGAAAACAGCTTACCAAAGCAATTCATAAAGCATTGTATTCTGCATGGCAACTTCACAAATCAACCAATGTAACCAATTTAGCACAACTAATGTTTTATGTGAGAAATGTTTATTCTGCAAAAAATATATACCAAAGAGGACAACTAGCATTGAAACCTTTAAGTTATTGAACAATTTTATGACCTCCAACTTGCTGGACTGGAGGAACTGTGCTGGGATACATACTGATGGTACTGCTGCAATGACAGATAAATAAGGTGGTTTTGTCGCTAATGTGCAGGAAGCTTAATGGTTACCTCATTAAAGTGGCTAATTTTGCAAAATCAAATAGAGTGAACACTAATCTTTTCAGTACTTTGTGTGCTGAAATGGGAGCAGGCCATGAGCAAAGTTTAGCTGATTCTGATCTAACACTTTGAGATCTGGGTCGGTATATCGGACCGAGCCTGTGTCTTTAAAGCTATACATAACTCTAAGTGTATCTTCAAAATACTTGGTAAGCTTTTAGTAAATATTAAAAGTCTGTTCTACACAGAAAATCTAATTTTTAATAAAGTATTTATTATTATAAATATAATTAATATTATAATTATACTAATTATTTGTATGTAAATTTCGGAAGCCTTAACTGATTCAGTCTGAGTGAAAGGCAATTTTCATGCTGAAAATAAAATACTTCTTTTCATCTAACAGTTTCATATTTCATTTGCATTATCTCTAGAACCTTCTAAATGAAGATCAAATGTGTTTTTTGATAAAATTTTTTATT